GGCCCGGGCGTGAGGTCTCATGGCGGGAGTCACCCCCTCCTAGCTGACATGGGTGTGAGGTCACACTGGGCTGGCGTATCCTCTGCCCATTGCTTTACTTTGGCTCCTGGGGAGATGAGCCTGTGTGATAATTTTCTGATAGAGAAAAAGAAAACGTGTAGGAACAAGGAAGAGAATGGCGCTGATGCTTCTTGGAGGGAGTGAGATGCTCCTCCCACAGGAGGCCTGGGGCTCAGAGGGGCCTGTGCCCTCCCACTCACTTCGCAGCACTTGTGGGCAGCTCACTCCTAGCCGGAGCTTCCTCCCTGAATTTCTTGCTCTCTCTTCCCCTCCTCATCCCCTCCTGGACAAGCCCCTGATACTCCTTCACACAAGGGTGATATAGCAACTGTGTCACCTGCACTGGGCAGGAAGAGAAGGCATTTTTAATGTGCTCCTCTTTCTGCTAGGAAATGGTTACCTTCCAAGTGTCATGGTGCATAGGATGATTTGTGGACCTGGGGTCCCCGGGTGAGGGCCCTCCCATATGCAACCACCAAATACAGGCACTCCTGGAACTAAGCTTTATAAAAGCAAGGGCATCTGGACCTCTAGAAACCACAAGAAAAATAATTTGTAACTGTGTCGTGATGGATGTTAACTAGACCTATTGTGATCATTTTACAATATATGAAAATATCCCATCATTATGGCGTACACCTGAAACCAATATAATGTTATATGTCAATTTTCTATATATAGGGTGTCCCCCAAAATGTATGCAGTCAAACCTCGGTTCTCGAACATCTCCCTTCTTGAACATTTGGTTCTTCATCAAGTTGTTCACAGAAAAAAATGTCTTGGTTGTTGACCAAAACTTCAATTTTCAACCTGACAACCCTTTCCTGCTGACACCTCAGCGTGATAAAAAGAGTCTCTCAGGCAACAAACAAGGGAGAGAATGCTGTTGTTAATGGGGAAATCCACAATTAGCACAATTTTAAAACATGAAGAGGCCATCCAGAGTGCTAATGTTCCTAAGGGTGTGAACTGGCTCACAAACCAACACTCACAGGCAATGAAAAGGCAGAAAAACTGCTGTTGATTAGATAAATGAGGAGGAGTTAACCAGTGGATAGCAATTCTGAGGCAGTGACATATGAAAAATTTGTTTCAGGCTAGTGGGGGGTGTGGCTTGATAAATTTAAGAAAATAAGTGTTTATAAATTGAACAGTATATTAGGCTTTTATATAAGAAAGTTTAAAATGGAATTATTTGAGGGTCTGGAATAGATTAATTCAATTTACATTATTTCTAATGGAGAAAAAATGATTTGGTTTTCAAACAAGTCGTTTCTCTAACGGCCTTCTGGAACAAATTAAATTTGAGATATAAAGTTTCACTATAGACACTACCAGCTGATGATTCACTTAGCTTTGAAAGTGAAATGTATGTTAAGCAACACCAACTTTATAATCATTCAAAGTGTGTATACATATTTGGGGGATAGCCTGTATATGTCTATATATCTATATTGAGACAGATATATATATCCCAATAGATAGATCTACTTATGTACCTATCTATGTAAAATAAAATTTTTACCTACTTGATTTTAAAAATAAAAAGCACTCTAAATAGCGCTTTGCACAAAGCACATGGTACATCTTAGCCATTAAAGCAAACCAGCAAACCTGCGACTATAGGTGGTGTGGGGTGTGGTGTATCTTAACAGTAGGTTTATTTGGTGAGACCTGGTGGTAGTGGTGATGTGCATGTGTGTGGTGGGGAGGTCCCATGGGGACGTTGAAACCTCCCGAGACCCTCTAAGGGGGTGGGGGGAGGGGACCTTTTTTCTGCCTAGGGCCATCTGGATATTTGTAACATCATTCGACTAGCATGCAGAATTATCAGCTTAAAAAGTAGCAGGCTATATTTGTTTGAACTTTTTTTTTTTTTTTTAATATATTTTATTGATTTTTCACAGAGGGGAAGAGAGAGGGATAGAGAGTTAGAAACATCGATGAGAGAGAATCATCGATCAGCTGCCTCTTGCACACCCCCCACCTGGGATGTGCCCGCAACCAAGGTACATGCCCTTAACCGGAATCGAACCTGGGACCTTTCAATCTGCAGGCCGACGCTCTATCTACTGAGCCAAACCGGTTTCGGCTTGTTTGAACTTTTAATTAATTCGCCCCTAATGCATTGGCAGGGTCAGACCAAATGGTTTCCTGGGTCTTCTGTGGCCCACGGGCCAGATGTTCCCTACCCCTGCTCGAAGGGGTAAAGCCAGAGGAGAGCCTGTAATGTTTTCTGAGGCAGGGGCCGAGGGAGGAATGGCCTTTCTATGGTAGAGGGCACTGGTGCCTTGACTTAGGACAAAACAAGTCCTTGATATGTGTGCCAGCCTCAGCCTGCCTCGTAACTTTTTTTTTTTCTTCTTCTCTGTCTAGTGATCTCTTAATGAGGGACAACCTATTTGAAATCATCACAAGCTCCAGGACCTTCTACGTACAGGTAAGAGCTCCAAGAAGACCCTTTTTTTGTTCCGTTTCTGAGAACGTGTGCTCGACGCCTCACCGTTTTCTGCGCTTTCTCTTTTATTTTGCTTGAAGTTTCTGGTTGGTAAATTTAGCCCCTGAAAGCCAGTGTGAGTCCCGTTTTATTCTAAACAGGATGTTTGCCAGAAGCTTCCCAACCATGAAATGATAAGAGCAGGTTGAGCCTCTGTACTGGGGAACGTGAGCGAGGATCAGCTGCTCCCAGCTGCTGGGCGCCAGCTAAGCGGAGAAAAGGAGAACCGGTCAGTGGTTTCACTTCTCCTTCGGAGGGTATTTATAAGCCCTGCCGTGTGGTCATCCCAGCGTGCGGAAGGACAGCAGCGCAGAGGCCCCTGTGCCGGCGCCAGGTGCACAGCCCAGCTGCACAGAGAAAGCCATTGTTTGGGCTCCGGCCGCCCAAGCTATCAAAGCTGCTCCCCGCCACCCACAGCTGGAGCTCTCCCAGCTCCTAAAATCATTGGCGCTGGGAAGGCAGATTTCCAAACAAGCCCTCAGCCCAGCCCGTGCTGTGACTCATGCAGCATCGTGATAATACATTTCCAGTGCTAAGACTGCTGTGTCGCCTGTTGGTTTAAATGGGGCTGGGGGTGGGGGAGGGCTCAGCCAATGCTTTCAAGGCTTCCCCTGCCCTTTCCTCTAGGCGTCAAGTGCCCCTCCCTTCCACAGGGGTCACCCCTCCCTCATGTGTTGGGTAGCAGCTCCAGTTGTCCCCTCTCTGAGTTGGCAGCCGTCTATGGGTTCCATCCATTTAAACATTCTATATAATAAAAGGGTAATGTCCAAATCGACTGAACAGCGGAATGACTATTCGCTGTGATGTGCATGGACCATCAGGGGGCAGATACTCAAGGCAGGAGCTGCCCCCTGGTGGTCAGTACACTCCCATGGGGAGTGCTGCTCAGCCAGAAGTCGGGCTCATGACTGGCAAGAGCAGAGGCAGTGGAGGGAGCCTCTCCCGCCTTTGTGGCAGTGGTAAGGAGGTCAGACTGCTGGGCCTATGCTGTCAGTCGGACATCCGCTGAGGATTCCTGGACTGCGAGAGGGTGCAGGTGAGGCTGAGGGACCCCATCCCCCAACCCCCCGCCGAGTGCATGAATTTCATGCACCGGGCCTCTAGTATAGAGAGGAAGCAAGAGGGAGAGAGAAACATCAGTGATGAGAAAGAATCATTGAATGGCTGCCTCCAACACCCCCCCAACTGGGGATGGAGCTGCAACTTGGGCGTATACCCTTGACCAGAATCAAACCCGGGATTCTTGAGTCCACAGTTTGACATTCTATCCACTGAGCCAAACCGGTTAGGGCCATTCCTTCAGACAAGCGCTTGTCACCCCGGGAGAGACGACACAGGGAAGCTGTGGAAAGTGATGCTGGGGGCATTAGAGCTGGCTCCATCGCTGCCCAGGGACAAAGTTTTAAACTGTAGGTGCAACGAAGGCATTACCATGTCTGGCTTCTAACAGGTATTTGTAGAAGAGTCTTCAGAATGCCAGGCGTTTGGCCTCATATTGGGGACAGTTTGGCATGGAACAGATTCTGAACCAGAGTCAGGTCCACAAGCAGTGAGCACAGTGTGGTGGGGTGGGGGAGGGTGTTCAATGGATGAACGAACACAAGGCAGTTTTTAGGGCAGCTGAAACTTTTCTGTATGATACTGCTAAAGATGCATGAAATAGAGCATTACTGCACAGCTTTTAAAAAAGCATTTAGGAGGTCAGGTGATCCCAGCACGGAATGCAGAATATGCCAAAAGAAGCTAAATGTATCACTAGTGTGAAACTCCCTCACTGGTGGGATAGGAGAATGTAAATAAAACAAAACAGGGTGCTGAGTGCTACCATTAGACTGAGTCGTGGTTGCCATGGGAACTCATAGAAAGGGCATCTCCCCCAGCTTCAGGGAGTCAGGGGAGGTTTCTTGAGGGAAGACATATCTAAGTCTGAGTCTATTGAGGGAGGAATGGCCCAGGCAGAGGGAACAACTGTGTAGAAAACAACAACCTGGAGATACCGGAGGCCGGGAGGCAGGCGCACAGGGCCCCTGACCTTGCACGTTGTTAAAAAGCTTCTCTTCTGTGCTAAGGGTCAGGCCCCTCGATGTTGAACTAGGGGAGTGACCCAGTCAAATCTACCTTCTAAAAATACTCCTGAGCAGGTGCTCTCACTTTCAGAGCCTTGTTTTCTCATCTGTAGAGATGATAGCCCCACCCTCACCCCAAGAACAGCAGGCTGGTGTGTGGAACAGTCTAGAGTAGGGGTGTCGAACTCAATCAGAGAAGGGGCCAAAATCTAAAATCCAGCCTAAATCGCGGGCCCAATGGTTTACTGAACAGTCATAAACTGTCATTGTGATGGAAATGCAGCGGAGTGCAGTGATGACAGCGCAGTGCGGGCCACATTGCAAGGCCTGGCGGGCGGATTTGGCCCGCGGGCCTTGTGTTTGACACATGTGGTCTAGAGGACTGATGAGAAAAGTGGGGAAGATGGGAGGCAGGCCAGTTTGAAGGCTTTTGTAATGTAGGTGCGGGATAAAAGGAAGCCCACACTTGGGTGGGTGGACAAACGTGGAACATGTAAAAGCTGTGAAAGGGTCTTTTCTAGGACTTGATTGTTGGTCGGGTGTGGGGTGGTGGGAGAAAGGAGCAGCAAGGGCAGCTGATGGCAGCCATCAATGTGAAACAGGCAAGCCTGGCAGAGGCGGTTTACCTTGACTCTGGGACATCCAAGGCAACATGCTATGAAGGCCCTTAGACAAACAATGCCTGACACATTGGTGCTACTAGATAAGTATTTGTCAAGTAAATTATTATCCTCTGTAAGAGTTAGGACAGAGCTTTGGGAAACATGAATCTTTCCCCCTCTCCCCCCCCCCCAATAAAAATCGTTCAAAAGGTTTCCCATCATCTGCATGTGTGTGTGCATGCTTACCAGAGTCTTCTCATTCCTTCCATCCCTCTTTGCCTTTCTGCGCCCAAGTTTCTGGGGGCAAAAGAATGCTAGCATCACCCTGAATAAAGAAATGCGCGAATGGACACATGTTTATCACAGCTAACTCAGAGGAATCTGAAGTTAGAGAAGAGTAGAGATTAAAGATCATTAAAGATATGTATTCATTTATTTTGAAATAGCAACTATTAAACGGATTTATGTTAAGGCAAGTAACATTTTATGAAAAGGAACTATATTGCTGAAACAAAAAAGGCAACAAGAGTAGCACTGTTTTTTGTTTTTGCAAATCTGATTAATGGCTGGCTTAATAGAAGACAGCAGGATTCTCATATCTGCCTCTGCATTCTATCTGGGGCCATATGTTGTTTTGATGGAAGAATATGAAGAAAATCTGGCCCTGCACAGATATGCATTTGGAAAAAAGGCAACATTTTATAGCTTTTCCAGGTAATTGTGGATATTCTTTTTTGATTCTAAAACTTGGCAAATGGTGGTTAGTTTCTTCATGTTTCATACAATGTGGAATCAGAAGCCAATAATAATAAACTTTTATACTCTTATTTTAAAATCCTTTGGCTGGTTTTTCGATTTGAATGAATCCTTTTTACCAATGCATGATTTTGCAACCGTGTACATAGGACTTTTGGAAAATCATGGTCTTGCTGAGCTATGCAGATCTTCCAGATGTGGACACATTTTATTATACTAGTATAGCTACTATCCCAGTGCATGGATTCGTGCACATTGAAAGGAAATTAATTAGAAGAAATATTTTAATATTGCTTTTCACATCTTGCTAATAAAAAGAAGATAGGATTCTGCTGAGTCTCCTGTCTCTTTACTCCAGGACTTCTGTGAGGATCAAATGAGATGAGGCGCAGGAAAACGCTTCACAAACATTTGGTTAAACTGTAAAATGTTTGCACCTGGCTATAAAGCAAGTAGAGTTCCTGGGCTGAAGAAACTCCAAGGAGACTAGTTGCTAGGGAGTGGAAGCCAGGCAGTGCTATGTGGCATCAATACCTGAAGCCCACAGCAACCGTTTCTAGGCTGGGCTGGGCTATGAGCCACATTTTGTGCCATGGGGTATTGCCAGCTTTGGCTGCGATTTGGTGGGGTGTCACTCCAGGTTGGTGACGGGGCCTGTGTCCCACTTGGGGGAAGCCGAGTGTTGGTTTCTTGGCGCCAGGTCCGTGATGCTGTTTATTTTTAAATGGCCAGTGCATGTCCTAGCAGCTCCTGCGTTGAGTGTCTGACCCCTGGTGGTCAGTGGACATCATAGCTACCAGTCAGACAGATAGACAGACACTTAGCATTTTATCTCTCTGTATAAAGAAGTAATATGCAAATTAATTGGGGGGCTGTAACAGTCAGGACTGCTCAAGCAGAGGCTGCGTGCGCAGGGGGGCAGGAGGAGGCTGCTGCATGGTGAGACAAGCCACGTATGGCACAGACCTGCAGAGAGCAGGGGGCAGGGCCTGCCTGCCAGGCATAGTGGTTAACAGGCCCGCAGAAAACAGGGCCTGCAGCCGGGGCACGTCGGCAGTCCTGCCTCTGCATGTGAACTGCAGAGGAAACACCTTTTCTGACTGCTCGTTGGCTAAGCTCCCATTACACCACTCACAGTGTTCTTGGTAACTTGTGTAATAAGAATCCAAGAAGATGATCTAGGGATTTTCCACCTCACGCCTGGAGGAAAAAAAAAGAAAGGTCTGCTGCTGGAGAGGCTAAGAAATGTCATATTCTGCCCTAGCTGGTTTGGCTCAGTGGATAGAGCCTCGGCCTGCAGACCAAAGGGACTGGGTTCAAATTCTGGTCAAGGGCATGTACCTAGATTGCAGGCTCCTCACTGGCTGGGGTCCAGGTCAGGGCTCATGCAGGAGGCAACCAATTGAAGTGTCCCCCTCACATTGATGTTTCTCTCTGTCTTTCCCTCTCTCTTCTACACTCTCTAAAAATCAATGGAAAAATATCCTCAGGTGAGGATAAAAAGAAAGGAAGGGAGAAA